TCGACACCTACGCACTGCTGGATAAAGGATCGTCTGTCACGCTCATCGACGACGAACTCATCCGCAGCCAGAACCTGAAAGGTGAGAGTCGCCAACTGAACGTGCAGTGGTTTGGTGGGAAATCTGCCAAAGAGCACACGAAAGTGGTCAACCTGCAGATCAGTGAAGCGGGCAAGCCAAAGCGCCATGGGCTGAAGAACGTGTACGGAGTAGCCAACTTGAACCTTCCGATGCAGAGCCTGAGTCGGGAGGATGTAAAGGCAGTGAAGGCGAATGCGCATCTACCTGTGAAGCCGTACAACAATGCGACGCCAAGGATCCTAATTGGGCTGGATCATGCGCATCTTGGAACCCCACTCAAAACAAGAAGCTATGGATCTGGAGGACCATTTGCAGCAGCCACCGCACTTGGATGGGTGGTGTATGGACCGGTGAACGGAAAGGCGAGCTCACCGCTCCAGAGTTCGTGCCTCCTAGCAGTGCGTCAAGATAAACTTCTGGAGAAGATGATGAGCGACTATTTCGAAATCGAAAATTTCGGAGTAAAGCCGGCACAGCCAGTCGCAGCTAGCGAAGTAGCGCTGGCGCCGTCAGTCGCAGATGGCGGCGACGCACGGGACCTGAGTATCCTGGAGGAGACGACTAGGCGAGTAGGACGACGTTACGAGACCGGGCTGCTATGGAGAGACGACAAGGTGAGACTGCCGGAGAGCTACAACATGGCCAACGGGGCCGGACGTATAAGAGATGCAAGTGATGACGTTCGGAGAAGCTTGCTCACCATGTTCGGCGGACTACGTAAAGACCCTGAATGCCTCGCAATACAGCAGCACGGATATTAAGGAATACCACTACGTGGACGACTACGTCAACAGCTTCAGCAGTGAAGAAGAAGCCCTCGCCATCTCAACACGGGTGAGAGAGATTTATGCTGATGCAGGTTTTGACTTGTGTCGATTCACTTCTAGTTCGGAAAGTGTGGTCAGAGCGTTAAACCCTCTTGAACCCATCGCTAGCTTTAAATGGACCGAAGCTGAGGAGAAGGTTCTTAGAATGTACTGGCAACCGGCTATAGATGATTTCAAGTTCGGCGTCAAGTATAATCGAGTCTCGAAAAGCGTGATGACAGGAGAACCCGTACCTACCAAGAGGGAGTTCCTATGCCTTGTCATGTCCACGTTTGACCCGATTGGATTTCTGAGCTGCTACATGGTGACTGCCAAATTGTTAATGAGAGAGATTTAGCGAAGAGGAGTCAACTGGGACGAGCTGCTACCCCATAATTTGGCCGCTGTCTTTGAAGACTAGCGGCAAGGAATGAGCAAAATCGATGAGTTCCGATGTCCACGCTAATACTTCAGCGGTGGACGCGTGAGAATGCTACAGCTACATATCTTCGTGGACTCCAGTCAGTCGGCATTCGCAGCAGCGGCCTATTGGCGGGCCACTTAGGAGAACGGAGACGTGCGGGCGCATTTCATAAGCTCCAAAACGAAATGCGCTCCGATGAGGACTATGTCGATCCCGCGAATGGAACTTCAAGCAGCAGTATTGGGCACGAGACTGATGGACACCGTCAAGTAGGAGCACGGTGTGGCGTCCCAGTGGGGATGAATTTCGTCTGCAGAAAACGTGGCAGATGAGGCGTTGAGACCACGGAAGGCCGTGGACCTGAGCATCGGTTCGCGATAGCTAAGCGGTCCACCATTTCTACGAGGACCAGAGGAGAGCTGGCCAAGATCGATTCCTCCGAGAGCGACGAAGAGGAAATGAAATGGCCTTGGTTCTGGTAAACTTCATATCCTTGCAGAGATTCTCCAACAACAATCGACTGGTGAGGAGCACCGCATAGGTGCTCAGATTCATTCGACGGTGCCGTGGACTACGATACGGTGGAGAGGATCTCGAACTGACGTCGATGGAGTGCGCTGAAATTGAGCGCGCACTGGTACGGCAATCGCAGCGAGAAGCGTTTGCTGAGGACAACCAAGGAAAAGCCGCCAAAGGCAGCTGACTGTCCCCATACTTCGACGAGGACGGAGTAATGCGAGCCAGCGGAAGGATCGACGACGCGACGTGTGTGCCATACAGCGCAAGTTGGCCGATCATACTGTCTCACGAGGAGGCATTGGCGGAGATGATCGTGCAGCATTACCACGAGAGGATGTGCCACCAAAACACGGAGGCAATTATCGGAGCGATCATGCAGAAGTTCTGGATTCCGAACTTATGGAGGCAGCTACGGAGGGTGGAGAGCAATTGCAACGTTCATAAGCTGCGAAGAGCACGATCAACTAAGACCGAGATGGGTCCCCTGTCAGAGGACCGGCTGGAGGCCAACGGATAGCCCTTTAAGTTCACCGGGTTGGACTATTTTGGACCGCTATTTGTGACGATTGGACGTCGCACGGAGAAGAGGTGGGTGGCACTGTTTACGTGTCTGACCACAAGAGCTATCCACTTGGAGATGGCTCACGATTTGTCCACCGATTCCTGCATAATCGCTATAAGGAACTTCATGAGCCGACGTGGACCCGTCATCAGGATTAGGAGTGACAATGGAAAGAACTTCGTTGTAGCCAACCGCGAGGCCAAGAGGTTCAGCGAAGTGTTCGAGCCTGTACAGATCCAGGCGAGTTGTCGTCTAAAGGAGTTGAATGAATCTTCAATTGCCTGGTGAAACCAGCTGAGGTTGGCGCCTGGGAAAGGATGGTGCAGTGTGTGAAGAAGGTGTTGGCGCACACGATGAAAGAACTCGCGCCCAAGGAGCACGTACTGGAGAATCGGCTGATTGAATCTGAGAGCATAGTAAACTCTCGTCCGCGTAATCATCTACCAGTGACGGTGAATAAGGAGGCTCCACTGACACCCATCGATTTGCTGAAGGGAGCACCCGATGTCCCAGATCTTCCCAAGCATGACGGACAGGAGCCCGTGAGATGCGCTACCAGGAAGCAGTGGCGCATAGCGAGGATGATGCGGGATCGGTTCTGGATGCGATGGGTGCATGAGTACCTGCCGACTCTTGTGCGCAGGGTGAGATGGTACAAGCACGTCGAGCCCATTCATTGAGGAGACTTGGTGTTCATCTATGATCCAGCCATACCACGAAGGGAGTGGAAACGAGGCGTCGTCGAAGAGGTCTTCTCCGGGAGAGATGGAGTACCTCGTCGAGCGGCAGTGCGGACTAACGATCGAGCCAAAACGACAATGCGTCCTGCTTCGAAGCTAACTGTCCCGGACGCGGCTTCTTCACGGGGGTGCGGATGTCGCGGAAAGATTAGCTCTATCGATAGTCAGTCGCCGTTCAAATATAGCGCCGATAGTCTAAGTCAGTATTATATGAAATCTGGTATTTTTAGTTTAAGTTATTCAACAATAATTTGGCGGATCAATTAGACCGATTTGCACCATCACAAGGAGAGGAAAGAGAAACTGCGTTATGTTAGCCTAAGTAGGTGTAAATGTAAGTTCTAAGTAGCTATTGTAATTCTTTCAGAATAAAGCGAACGAACCGAACCCCAACTATTGTCAAGTGTTTATTTAAAGCCATTCCCCGTGATTGGCCAAGCGGCGACAACTACGTAAAACTCTTTTTGGACTTCAATCCAAAAGATTCTTATTTTGCTTGGTAAAATGCAATCTTTAATCATTTTAAAAGACTAAAAGCTGATTTGCTTTAGAGTGTGTCGAAATGATGGTCTTTACAGAGTTTTAGTTCAACAATGGCGCCCTCTATAAAAATTTCTGTTACATAGAACCACTACAACACTTGTATGGACTACTTTCATACAACGAAAATGGACGCAAAAATGAAGAAGGGGCCTCTGCGCTTCACCAGCCAACCTATCATTCGCCATCGGATCCATAAGTGAAGCTACAATGAACTTAAAGCGAAGAAAAAATCTCTTTTTGTTCCAAGAACGGGTTTCAAACGAATCACATGTCGCTCAGTTTGATGCAGCAGAGCTCTTCAAAAGCGAACATCTAACGTGAATTCTTTTTCGGATTACATGTGAACCTAGAGTAAATTCGTCAGTAGTACGAAATCGGACTCCCAGCGAATTCACAAAATGTTCGCCTACGGTCTGAAATGGGCATCCTATTGAATTTATAAAATGTTCAAGTCCGAATCGGAATTCAAAAAATGTTCGCCCATCAAATATCGGAATTCTCTTATAAAAGGCTATTTGCTACATTACTTAGTAAAACACTTCCTATTATAAATTAATAATGAATCATTTATCTCACTCTACGGTTTTCAACAAAAATTACTTCAAGAATTTTAAAGCTTTTTTTTTTGCTTATTCTTTAAGTCTATAATGTTGAGAATACTCCCACAAAAATTCGGAGCAGTACAACCGAAGTTGTAGCTATTTATAGCGCACTACCTGCACATCAAAAGTGAACAAACTTGAAACTTTAAACGCGATTATCTCAGAATCTTGTTTTTTCGAAATTACCTTTGCGGTGGACACGATTACTAAATAACTATTGATCGGATCAACACCAAATTGACCACTTATTTATTATGATAATAGCTAGCCCGTAAACAAAGAATTTTCCATTTTTTTGAAAACTCCTTTTTTTATAGCATCTATGGTGTCAAAAAAAATCGATAAAATTGTATCATTTTGCGCGGTACAACTGTATATGACCCCTTAAATCGCGTTCACTATTTATGATAATGTACAAAGAAGTGAAAGAAAATGTGAAGAATAACAAAAACAGACGAGACGAGAGCCTCAACTTTACACGAGTTATTGTTATTGAATTTTCAAATAACTTTTCGCCAAATACTATTATTTCGCTAAAATTCACACTTCATTCATTTCATTTTTATATTTTTTTGTAACATTTTAGGCTTACTACCCAAAAAAAATCAGCATGCTTTTATATTTGTTTAGGAATAAGTGGAAGATGAGAAACGGGTATTATAAAGTCGGGAAACTCGACTATAGTTGTCCTTTCTGGTTTCTAAATTGTTTTTTTGTTTTTAGTGACTTAGCAGAATATGAAAAACAAGCTAGTAAATACGAATCTGATGTTACTGAAAAACCACCTTTTAATTATTCAAATATAATTGGAATGGCAATGTTGAAGACAGGACGTGTTACATTACAACAATTGTGTGCTTGGATTGAGTCAAAGTTCGCTTATTTTCGCGTTCGAAAAAGGTGGAATGTAAGTTTTAAACTAATATAAATGAATCTTTATTATTATACAATTTTTTTTAGAACTCTATTAGGCATAATTTATCACTTCATCACTGTTTTCGTAACCGAAAAAGAGAGGACAAAGGAAAAGGTGGCTACTGGGAATTGGGAATTGACCCAAAAAAATGTGACAAAAAGCGGATTCGTAAAAGAAAACTGTGCAATAAGCATAAGCTAAATAGTAGCTTGGACAGCAAGACCGGGTATTTTCAGAAGGACGACTTTGAAATAATGCATAAAGAATTAAAAAAAAAACACGGGTCATGTATGGGGGAATATAATGAAAGTTCCCCTAAGCAGTCTGTGCTTACTGAGCAAAGTTCAGTATCAATTGATTCAATTCCCTCACTAACTTTGGCAAAAGTTGGGTTAGGTGAAATTCCAATCAATCAAAACCCATTATTAAACAAAGGTCGATTAGAAATTAACTCTTTAAATGTTCTTTCTAAGAAACAAATTTCTCAAAAGGATTATAAATTGGGTTCGGTCCCTTTAGGATCTGCAAAAATTCTTGATGCGCGCCAATCCTTAAACAATTTAAGTTGTCATGTTTCAGACAGTAACCAACTGGTAAGATATTGAAATCCCAAAAACAATGACAAAGAATATTTTTAGTTTTTTTAATAGATTCCAACCCCAGAATTTCCGCTTATTAGTGTTGACGATGACGACATTGCACCTGTACTTTCTTCCAGCTCAATTATTAATCGATACGGGAGTATTCAAGCAGAAATATCAAGCTGTGAAAATGAAACAATTAGTTACAATTCCGAAAACTTAGATGAATTTGATGAACGATTCCATTGTCTGCATGCTAGCATTCAGTACAATCGTGGTGACGATATCTTAGATAACTTCCTAGACGTTTGTGTTGCACACTATTAAAAATTTAAATTTATCAGTAAAAAAAGTATACATATAATTTATCCTATTCCTCAGATATATTGTAATTCCTCAGTACTTACTGTAAAAAAGCTAAAGCTAAACAATAGTTTTCAGGCTTTTATTTCCCTATACATTTTAACTTTTGGGTCCCGAAGACGAATGAATAGCCCGAGTAAGAACCATATTTTAGTTCTGCTTCTAATATTGTGTAATTATGTAAGTGTCTGCCCATTTTTCTATTGCGATTTTTCACCTCGCCGGCTAGCACGCGTTAACATCTGCAGGGATGGGAACACCCGGAAAAACCCGAAAGACAATCTCACAAAAAAAATAAACTAATTCAATTTATTCAAAAAAAAAAATAAATAAATAGATTCAAACAAGCACAACCCTGCAGAACTGGAGGTGTTGATAGTGTGTATAGGTAAGTGCTTACCTCGTCGATCACTACATGGGTACTCACTAAAGTGACCCTATAGTAAACGAACGTCGAACCACCTAGTCGACTCGAGTTTGCGATTGGCCCTGGGTAAGTGCTTACCTCGTCGATCACTACATGGGTACTTACTAGATTAACCCTATAGTAATCGATCGTAAGCTATAGTAAGCATAAGTACAAAATAACGGCAAGCATCGCTTTTGTTTTTTTTATTTTGTGGAGAGAGCACACACAAGATTAAAGACAAAACTTCGATAATGCTTTACATCGCTGTTTGTTTACCCGTCTTCGGTGCACTGCTTACAAAAACAATTGTCCAGAAAGAACAGTTTGTTTTATTTTGTGCTACTCTTTCGTTTAAACGCAGCTGTGTTTACTGGCTGACGAAATTTTTGCAAGCATTTGCGTTGAGAAGAGCAAAGCGGATCAACTGATTATTAGGTGTGTGACCTAAAAAATAATATATGTTTGTATTAAATGTGTACTAATGTGTCAATATTAAATAAAAAATAAAAGTACGACAAGCAGTTAAAATTATGTATAGTGAACGACATAAAAGAAGGCTAAAGCTGCAGCAAAAAAAAAAATATAAAGAAAAGTTAAGTTCCACAGTGGAGAACAAAAATGTGCCCAACGAAGAAGTGGAAATTATTAGAAAATTATTAATTATTAATTATCATTTATTATAAATAATTAATTATAATTATAAATAATAATTATTGGAAATTATTAAATTTAAATTATGAAAATAATGACCGTGAACTTATTTTTTGGAGGAAATAATTTATGAAGACAATATTGACAATGAACTAATAGTTTAGATGTCGGACCATTTTACAAATACAGTGCGCCTAAAAAAGCTGAAATAATGCAAATGAGTGGTGGCCGTTATTTGCACATTGGCATTAAAACTCAGATTTCTAAGCTTTGAATTTAAATAATTTTCCTGACGACATAACTATTGACATAAACATTGATGGAAATCCTCTATTCTAAAGTTCAAATTCACAACTATGACCAATTTTGATAAAAGTGGCAAATATTAAAAATTCTCCTGTTGTCCCTGTTTGAATATTTTTGGAAAAATCGAAGCGCAATAGTCTGGTCGAATTTTAAAGCCAAGTTACTTGTGAGCTAAAAGATCTTCTTCAAAATGGAATTGACACAGACGATAGAAATATCCAATTAAAATTAAGGGCTATTGTTTGTGATGCCCCAGTTAGCTTACATCAGTGGGACTCCCGAACATACATCTTCGCATGGATGTTTAAAATGCATACAAGTCGGAAAAAAAATAAATAGTGTTTTAACATACACAACAAAGAGTAAAGACTTAATAACCGACGAGGACTTCAAAAGTAGGAAATATTCCGATCATCACTTAAGGATGTAGTCTCATGTATGAGGTTGAACAAATCAATTTTTTTATATTTTGATAGTGTTGTTTATTATGAATGTACTGTTAAAGTTTCAAATAAAAATATCAAATAATGACAGAGATACAGCCCATAATCGAGAGCGCGCCTACACCGAAAAGTATGAGTTTCTCGGTAGCGTCTAAACTTTAAACGCGTTTTTCTCGAAACGACATTTTTGTGTGCGGCGCAGGTGATTCACAAAATTCTATGGTACCGATCTAGCTGAAATTTGGATATGTTGTTCTAAAAAGTAACACCTCTGTCCCGTACTAGAATCATTTATTTTTAATGATTAGTTTTTTTTTTATCATTAATTTAAGATAAATTTTTTTAATTTTTTTAATTTTTGTTTTGTGAGTTCGCCATTTTGTTGTTTATTGATGAAAATATTTCATTCTAGTACGGGACAGAGCCATTAGCTTACAAAACAATAATCTATTCTAATTTTTTGTTTCGGATGACTCTAGCAGTCGAAATCACCTGCGCCAGGGACCTATCTTTTTTTTTTTATATGCATACTTTGGCATGCTATAAAGTGTATTAAACTACACAAGAATAAATTAAACAAAATATTTTCAAATAGTTTATGATGCTTATAAAAACATATTTGAAAATTGAAACGATGGCATTATTTTTTGTTACAAAAAAAATTTTTTGAAATAACCTCTAAAAAGTAGGCCGGCACATGAGACTAAATCCTTAAAACAATATTTGACAAAAGTGACACCCTTTGAAACCGTGAATGTAAAAATGGTTTCCCAAATTCCACTGACTACATGCATTTATTTGACTTAGGAGTCATGTTCGATTGATGACGAACGACAAGAAATCTAAAATATCCCAAAAATTAGTTGACATACGTAAAAAGATGCCTAAAGAATTCGCAAGAAAGCCAAGACCCTTAAGTGAACTATACAACTGGAAACCAACTGAATTATTTTACTGTATACGGGAATATTTGTACTCAAAAATGAATTACCTGATGACCAATATTATGTGTTTTTGTTATTGCATTGTGCGTATAGAAGGCTTTGCTGCCCATATCAGCGAACAATTTATTTGTAAACCTGTCAGCGAATGTTGAACCTATTTGTTTCAAATTTTCCAATTGTATTTGGAGAAAATAGTGTCTCATATAACATACACAGCTTACTACATGTAAAAGAAACGGTGAAACAGGTTGGCGATCCAGTTAAAGGCTCTGCTTATGCTTTTGAAAATTATTTGCAACATTTGAAAAATTTTGTCAGAAATCCAACAAACATTTTAGAGAATTGAAGAAGAACAGAATTTACCTAAACAAGAGAGATTAGAGACCGAAAAAAGAAAAAATGTAACAATATTTAAAGGAAGCACATTAATCCAGAAGGAACCAAACAATTATTGTTGCATCGAAGATACATTAAGAGGAAGAATGTGCGGAATTTTTATACAGAGCCTATGACTTGGGTATTTACGTAGAAGATGCGGAGCCCTTATCTTCTGAAGCAATTTTTGAATTAAACCAGTTGATTTGTAAAGCAGCCGCAATACCATATTTAAAGGATATGATTTTTATACCCTTGCAGAGGGTATTATAATTTTGTCCAAAAGTGTGCAACGCAGTGAAGGAGACATCTCCGACCCTATAAAGTATATATATTCTTGATCAGGATCACCTCCTGAGTTGATATGAGCATGTCCGTCTGTCCGTCTGTCTGTTTCTACGCGAACTAGTCTCTCAGTTTTAAAGCTATCGTCTTGAAACTTTGCACACACCCTTCTTTCCTTTGCACGCAGTATATAAGTCGGAATGGCCGGGATCGGCCGACTATATCCTATAGCTGCCATATAACTGATTGATCGTAAATGGTATAACTTTGGTGTTTTTAGAGTTAGAGAGTTCAAATTTGACATGAGAGCTATTTTTGGCAAAATAATACGACATGCCAAATTTTATAAGGATCGGCCGACTATATCCTATAGCTGCCATATAACTGAACGATCGGAAATGACCCAACTTTCGTGTTTTTGAAGATAGAAAGCTGGAACTTGGTACAGATTATATTTTTGGTCAGTTGATCCAACCTACCAAATTTCAGATCGGCTAACTATATCCGATGTTTGCGATATATATCCGGTTTTAGCTGCAAGGGTATATAAACTTCGGCTCCGCCCGAAGTTAGCTTTCCTTTCTTGTTTGTAAATGAAGTTACTTCCCAGCTCAGTAGAGGGGGAAGAATTCCTTGGCCGTCCCGTGAAGACGGGTAAACGCCAACGCTTATGTGTAACATTAAAAATTTGAAGATACTTGTTATGACAATGCGAACAAATTATTTATATTAATATGACTTGAGGCTTGATGATGTGGATGGGAAATAAACGATAATGAAGATAGATGCGATAGTCAACTATTTAAAGTAACCGTGTTAATACATGCACGTGCTGAAGGATATGATTTAAATTCCTTTACTTCGCCATATTGATGATTGAGGATATTGTCGTACTTTTATCTGTTCAACCCTAAATTATATCATATATATTATATAAAAGCTTCAAGAATAAAGAGGCGGGACGATGTCGGACAGTCCAGCAAGAAAAATTCAGCGATTGGAGTTTCTTAACACTGGTAAGTTTAAAAAAATATTTAAGACATCTGTAGTAAATTGTGAATTAAAACTATTGTTTTTATACCCTTGCAGAGGATATTATAATTTTGTCCAAAAGTGTGCAACGCAGTGAAGGAGACATCTCCGACCCTATAAAGTATATATATTCTTGATCAGGATCACCTCCTGAGTTGATATGAGCATGTCCGTCTGTCCATCTGTCTGTTTCTACGCGAACTAGTCTCTCAGTTTTAAAGCTATCGTCTTGAAACTTTGCACACACCCTTCTTTCCTTTGCACGCAGTATATAAGTCGGAACGGCCCGGATCGGCCGACTATATCCTATAGCTGCCATATAACTGATTGATCGGAAATGGTATAACTTCGGTGTTTTTAGAGTTAGAGAGTTCAAATTTCACATTTCACATATTTTTGGCAAAATAATACGACATGCTAAATTTCGTAAGGATCGGCCGACTATATCCTATAGCTGCCATATAACTGAACGATCGGAAATGACCCAACTTTCGTGTTTTTTAAGATAGAAAGCTGGAACTTGGTACAGATTATATTTTTGGTCAGTTTATCCGACCTATCGAATTTCATAACGATTGGCCGACTATATCTTATAGCTGCCATATAACTGAACGATCGGAAATGGTTTTTGGTTAAGCTTAATTTGAATTAAGCTATTTGAAATTTGTTAAGCTAAGAGGAGTTAGTAAGGAAATTTAAAATTCTATATTTTAAATTAGAGGGACAGGAAAGAGATGTAATAGAGTAGAGACCATTGTAGTTCAAACATAATACCCTAAAAGGGTCATGCAGTGCATATGTCGAACTACAACGGCTAAGGAACAGAGGACTAAAGTTTCGAGTCCTTCTATTAGGAATGTTAAAATTTAAGCGTGTTAGTAAATGCTGGCTATCTACATCCCCGTTAATAAGGTTATGCAGAAAAACTACACCGAGCATTGTCCTATGATTTGTTAAGCTAGGTAAGTTTATAAGTAAAAGTCTGCTACTGTAGGATGGAAGCTGAAGATTTGCATCCCAGTATAGACCTCTAAGTGCAAATATTAAAAAGTTCTTTTGTACGGATTCTATGCGGTCCTTATGTACTCCGTATTGGGGACTCCAGACACATGAACCGTACTGCAGTATAGGACGGACCAAGGAAATAAATAGTGTTTTGGTTATATAGGGGTCAAAACATTTTTTTGACCACCTTTTAATAAAACCAAGGACACCTTTAGCCTTATTAACCATTAAGGAAATATGGTCGGCAAATTTGAGTTTAATGTCTAATAAGACGCCGAGATCATTAACCTGAGTTAATTTTTCTAAGGCAATCCCATTAATAGAATAAGTAGCTTGCAGAGGGCAAGAACGATAAAAAGACATATGTTTGCATTTTGATCCATTAAGTATTAGATCATTAGCTAAACACCATTTTTGAAAGTTATCAAGGTCAGACTGAAGACTGCATTGGGCAGAGATGGATTTGTACTGAAGACAAAGCTTTACATCGTCTGCATACATAAGAACTAGAGAGTTCGTT